TATTGGAACAATACTTCTGGGAAAGTGGCCATTCCTCTCTGAAGGAGATAGAGAGTTAGCTAGGTGAAGAAGGTGCTCCAGCCAGGCCGGGCATGGTGGGGCACGCCTGTAATCTCCAGCAGCTTGGGAGGCTGAGGCAGGAGTATCACAAGTTCAAAGCCAGCCTCAGCAATTTAGCAAGGCCTAAGCAACTCAGTGAGACCCGAACTGTAAATAAAATATTAAAAGGTCTGGGGATGGGGCTCAGTGGTTAAGTGCTCCTGGATTCAATCCCCCAGCACCTGGATTCAATCCCCCAGCACCAATAAAAAGGTTCTCCAGAAAGAATGCCTCATGCCTCTGAAAGCCAGAGAGGAGGGAGGCCACCATTGCTGCTGCGGTAACCCTGCCAGGTCCTTCTTGCATAAGTCTCTGTCAGGCTCCAGCACTTCAGCGTCATCAGACACCAGGGACTTCTTAGGAATATTGGCTCCATGTAGCCAAGACCCTCCTGTCCTCCCAGCCACACCCTTCTCAAGCCTAGGAGTGTTCTAGGTCTGCTGTTCCTGTGGGCTCTTTGGTACCCACAGGCTAGCGAGGTCTGGGGACATTAGGTAACACACCAAACCTAAATACGCATGACTTTGCCTTGCTATTTTACAACCTGAAGCGTGTTCCCTGATCTTTTGCAGCCTGCACACACCTCACACACACACCAGGGTAAGAGCCCAGCCTGGCAAGCAGTCACCTTGCTGTCCCTCCGCCCACACTTGCGGATGTGAACCCCTCTGCTCCGGGAGCCTCAGTGCCAGGCTTGCCAGGTTCAACCCGTCACCATCGCGGTTCACTGCTGACAACCATCTGCCACTCAGCGATGAGCAGCAACTGGGGGTCCACTCCACAGTTGTGCTTTGGGCACAAGCAACAGGCTTGCTTTATGATTTCTTCATAAAGTTCTCAGTTTACTTCTGAAGAGCGAGATGGGTTTTCTCACCCAGCATGACATGGAGGGTTTGGAAAGGGTTTTTGGTGAGGGAATCCACAACTATAATGAAAGGGTTGATCACACTTGAGCTTCCAAGGCAGGGTGGCTCACGTAGGGTGTTAACAGTGCTGACAGGGCTGGGCAGCGAAGGGAGCCACCTGAGCCAAGGTGCCCAGGAACCAGAGCTGGGGCAGGGACACTTGGCACAGCAGGAACATTCATGCTAAGGAGACGTCCCCAGGCCCCCAGGAGCTCGCTCAGAGAGCTGTGCCAGATTGTGACAGGGAAGGCAATGTGGGTGGGCACATCACTGCCAAAGAGTGCCCGTCGGCCCAGCCCTGTGAGAGTGCCAGACCCTGCACTTGGACATTGCCTTCCTGGCCCTCCCATGCTGCTAGGTTGTGTGACCTCTGCTCTCTGTAGACTCCCAAGTGGTGTGAACTTTGTGCCCAAGTGAAGCGCTGATGTCAGTTGCTCAGACCAAAAGCCTGAGCTCATATTTGGTGGGTCCACATCAGTCTGCTGGTACTGGTTGTTAAACATTTTGACCATCACCCCGGTGACCTTTGAATCACACTCACCCCAGAGGGATGCTCACTGTGTGAAAGTCAGTGAGGGACCAGGTCACTCAGGCCACCCTGTAAATTCGAATCAGGACCTCTCACTTTGCCATCACCCACATTACTTCAAGTGTTTTTCCTGTTTATTGTTCTCTCTCCTTCTCCCCACCCCCTTCCTTGACTACACTACAGAATACAGAGTACATTAAGTACACTTTGGGTGTGTTTGCCCTAAATTTCACCTTATCTTTTTACCCCTGTGGTATTCAGGTTGCTGATTCTTAGTTCAGCTCAGACCTTGAGCTGAATGGATAAGCAATTGTTCTAACCATTCGGCCACCCGCTCTCTGCACAGTTAACACCCAGATGTGGCTCCCTGTTTTGGAAACTTTGATAGCAGAAACATCCCTAGGCTTTGTCATTCTGTCCCATCTGGGCCCAGCCGAGGACTCAATCTCCCATCTACCTGGATGAATTTTCTGATCCTCTCATGGACACTGTACTTTACTATCAATCACTGATACATTTTGTTTACTAGTAGGGTCGCCAAAGGAGCTGAACAGGCACTTCACAGAAGAAGAAATACAATCACTCAACAAATATATCAAAAAAAATATTCAACGTCACTAACAACTAGAGAAAGGTAAATTAAAACCACACTGAGATTCTATCACAGTCAAGTCAAAATGGCAATTATCAAGAATACAAGTAACAATAAATGTTGGCAAGGATGTGGGGGGAAAGGCACACTCATACATTACTGGTGGGAATGTAAAATTGGTGCAACCAATCTGGAAAGCAGTATGGAGATTCCTCAGAAAACTAGAAATAGAACCACCATTTGACCCAGCTATCCCATGCCTTGGTCTATACCCAAAGGAGTTAAAATCAGCATACTAAAGTGACACAGCCACATCAATGTGGCTCAATTCACAATAGCTAAACTATTGAACTAAACTAGGTGCCTTACAACAGATGAATGGATAAGCAAAATATGGTGTATATATATACAATATATATATTCCATTGTGTATATATATACAATATATATATTCCATTGTGTATATATATACAATATATATATTCCATTGTGTATATATATATATATATATATATATATATATATATATATACAATGGAATATATACAATGGAATTTTAGCCAGCCATAGAAAAGAATGAAATTATGGCATTTGCTGGTAAATGGATGGAACTGGAGACTATCATTCTAAGTGAAATAAGCCAATCAAAGCAAAGGCTGAATGTTTTCTCTTTGGGCTTGGGATGTGGCTCAAGCGGTAGTGCACTTGCCTGCGCGAGTGCAGCCCGGGTTCGATCCTCAGCACCACATACAAAGAAAGATGTTGTGTCCGCCGAAAACTAAAATATAAATATTAAAAATTATCTCTTTCTCTCTCTCTCTCTCTTTAAAAAAAAAAAAGAAGAAGTTCATTGGATTAGACAAAGGGGAAGGAAGGGAAGGGAGGGGGGATGAGAATAGGAAAGACAGTGGAATGAATCATACATAACTTCCCTATGTTCTTATATGAATACACAACCAGTGTAACTCCACATCATGCACAACCTCGAGAATGGGAAGCTATATTCCAAGTATTTTTAATATGTCAAAATACATTTTACTGTCATGTATCACTAAAAAGAACAAGTTTTTTAAAAGGAGGATTGCCAGATTTAGCAAATAAAAATACAACCATCCAGTTGAATTTCAATTTCAGATCAGCAATGACTAAACTTTGTATGTATGGAACACATCCTCAGAACTTATCTACAGCACACAGTGACGACAACAATCAACTGCAACTTATTGACAGGTGTCTGAGACTTGTGCAGGCTGGACTGGCGTCGGCACACCTGACGCTGGGGCCCAAGTACTGTGGCCAAGAACAGGACTCCCTCCTTCCCTGCATCTGGTCAGCCTCCTCTGGATTGCCTGTATTCTTAGATGAGGTTCAGCTGACAGGGTGGCTGCAGCCTCCAGCCCCGTGTTCTTTAAAGCCTGAGTTGGCAAAGCAGGAAGAGTTGTTTTTCCCAATTCTCCCACAAAACGATGAAGTTTCACTCCGATGAGATCAGCTTTGGTGGCTTAGCCAGCACCCAACCAAAACTTGTGGCCAAGGAAGTGAGATGCACTGATTGGCTTAGGCAGGACCCAGATGCACACCCAAGGGCCACCTGCCACCCAGACCACATGGATGAGAGGCCACAGGTGGACCTGCGAGACACTGATGAAGAACAGGAAGTGGGAAGGCCAGCAGTGCGCATTCTCTACTCACACCGAATGAGCGCAGGGACTGGTGAGAGGGCGCAGATGGCAGGACAGAGGCAGCACAGAGGAAGGCATCCCCTTCTCGAATAGCTCATCCACCTGGGGCCATCCATTGCTCCCAGAGTTAGCAGCTAAGCTCTTCTCACTTCCTACCTATTGCACCACATGCCTGTTGGTAGAATGAATATACAACTTCAATATCACGTGACCCTGCTGATAGGAAAGATTTTCAGAATGTCCAGTGACGCAGGGACTCGTGGCCCACCAGATGGCTTTTCTGTGAATCATTTGCAATGGCAAATGGCTCAGGATGCTGTTAGTGTTTAACCTGAGTTTTACTCACATCCAGGGATTTCCCCAGCTTTGTTAAGTATTTTTTAATGCTATTGTCTAAAGGATTGCTTCTTTTAAAAATCAAATGTGGAAGAATAGAAAGTGGTCCAATAAAGAGTCTACAAGCAGAGCTAAACAAAGAAACGAACCATTTAATTATCTTAGTTTCAAATGACACTATGTATCCTAGTTAGTGTTTTTCTTCAAATTAAAAAAAAAAGACTAAAGGCCTAAGAAACAAGATAGATGCTCATTTCTCTTTCATGCAGAAGAGATCTCAGGGAATGTAGCTCAGAGCTGAAAAAAATGTCTTCACAAAGGCTTCAGGAATCACCCCTTATCACTGCTTTTTTATTCTTGGCATATTCTGCCTCCTGGTCCAAAATGGCTGCTTCACCTTCAGCCATCATATCTGCATTATAGCTATCCGGAAGGAGGAAGGGCAAAGTACCTGCTTCTGCACTATAAGAACATTTCCTGAAATTTATACATGATACTTCATTTATGTTCTGTTGACCAAAACTTAATTATGTGTCCACATATATCAGCAAGAGAAGCAGGGAAATGCAGACTGGTGGCTTTTTAAGCAGTTGAAAATTGTGGGCTATTTGAGGAAGAAAGAAAAAAAGGGAGGGTGAAAAGAAGGAAGAATAAAGGAAAGAAGGAAGGAAATTGGGAGCAAATGGAAATCTTAGCACCACAGATAATTGGAAAGCTTCATATTATAATAAGATTGAAACATTGAAATATCTTGACAAAATTTTTTTTTTTGATACTGAGGATCGAACCCAAGGGCACTTAACCACTAAGCCACATCCCCAACCTTTTTTCTTTCTTTCTTTTTTTTTTTTTTGAAACAGGGCCTCACTATGTTGCTAAGACTGGCCTCCAACCCCAGCAATCCCCTGCCTCAGTCTCTTGAGTCGCTGGGATTACAGGTATGTAATGCCACACACCCAGAGACAAGAGATTAAAAAAAAGAGAGAAAGAGAATAAAGAATACCAGACACAGACCAAATAAATCCTGAACAATTTAACAAATTTAAATATTCCAAGTCTTCTTCCTGTATGTTAAATGTATCATTTTATAGTGGTAGGAATAATGTCCATTTGCTATTTGAGTGGAAGTAATTAAAGTCTATATCTAATAAGCATGGCCATATTCAGCCCTCATTCACATGTTTGTAGTTTTTCATATCCACTTGATATTCTATCACATTAATTTGGCATTTTTAAGCAGTGGAGGGGGAGGGGTGAAGTCAGGGTGGCGAAGTTGTTGAATGGTTGATAATTGTCGAAGTCGTATGTACAAGGGGATTCATTATACTATTATCTCTACTTCTGTGCCTGTTTAAATATAGCCACCATAAAAAGGCTTTTATGTATATATTATCGCTTTTTGAGAGGAGAACAGACTGCTACATTCTCTTTTTTGAGGTTGGAATGCCTGGAGCACAGAGGAAGGGGGAAGAGAACCCTCTGGAGGCTCCTTCCCTCTTCTCCCCCTAAGCTAACAGGCTTGGCTCACAAGGTTGATCTCCATCTAAAAGAGCTAATTATAAGACTCTTTTGTTCAAGAACTTTAAAAGGATTGGCTTCAACAGGGCTTCAATCTGTCATAAAGTTTTCCTTGTTAGAAAAAAAAAAATCTCTCCATAGAGAGGCACCATACACAATTTATTCTTTCCCCAACCCCCAGGACCCCCTGTTCTCCAGCATTTATTGAGGACCTGTTCTGAGTTGTTCTGGAAAGACAGAGATGTGTGAGACCCTGTCACCACCCTCGAGTAGCTCATATCTAACTGGGAGAAATAGACATAAATAGTTGTAAGATACTGTGGCCATGGGATGCGCATTCGTGAAACAGGGTGAGTATAAGATATGAACCCAGAAAAGCAAAAAGGGTCAGAAAAGAAATTTTTTTAATGTGGTTCTTATTGAAAGAAACTTAATACCAAACAGTATTATACAGTTGAATATATGCCAACCAGAGCCCCATTAACATAAACTACAAAAATGAATGCAACTTGCAAATGTTAATATATCCCACATATTTTAAATGGCAATATGACTTGACCACAAATTCCTCTGTTGCAATCAGAAGAAAAGTGATATTTAATGAGGAAAGGCCTTTCAATAAGTTGATGGAAGACAAGGTTTTATGTAACCTAATGCTCAAGTTAGTGGAAAGCAATTTTTTTTTCAAATAGATATGACTTATTTAAATCATTAAATAAGATTCTTGGGGAGGGGAGTATAGCAATTTCCTCAGAGGCTGGGCAGGGAACTCTGGTGAATCAATGAAATCATTGACTCAAAATTAGTGCAGATACTTTGAGTTCTGGTCTTGGCTTTTCACAAAGGTAACCAAGTGCCTTAGGCAGGTCAGTTAAACTCCCTGGGATTTAGTTCTTAACCAGTAAAATTAAGGGGTCAGTTTTGTTAGGGTTTCAAAGTTTATTTAGCCATATCGCCTCTTGTGCAAATGAAGCACTACTTGGAAGTTCAACGCCTAAGGTGGCTGAGTGGAGGTGCCTGGTGTGTTGTGATAGGTCTGGGCTTTTGGTTCATTCTCATGTTCCCCTCCCCTGGTGGCCCCAGAGTCACTTCCTCCAAAAAACAGAGTGTGACAGACACAATCTGGAGGATCCCTGGGGTCTTGTCCAGCTCTCACACCAGATGATCGTATTGCACTGGGCCATAAAATGCTAGAGAAAGAAACGTCAAAGGAACCCTCAGCTCATCTGGGGAGAAAGAAGTTTAAAAAGTGGGGCATCTTGAACAGATCAAACTTGGTAGTGTTTCTGAGAAGCCAGGAACAAAAGATAAGACAGCTCTTTTTCCTGATTCAGATTAGCTTCCAAAGTGGAGAGAATATAAACACACTTAGGCCCCAGAGTCAGGCCTTCTAGAAGAATACAAGGGGCAGGATCAGCAGGCCCAGAGACTTGGCTTTTCTCAGCCTTCTCTGTTTAATGCTCTCACACATCACACTCAAGACGCAGGAAAGTTGTGCCTATTAATACACAGCCCGCCCCGCTGATAACAGATGTGGTTATCATGGGAACGAAAACACATTTCCCCAGCTTTAAACCTCAAGCACATTTTCCATCATCGGTAACTGACTGAAAGGCTGGCTCGGGGCAGATGCTTTTCTTGCGTTTCTCATCTGTGGACATTGCTTCAAGCAATCACTGGGAAAGGAGACTCTGAGGTCTCCACCAGCAAGTGGAGGAGTTGGCAGGACCCAAGAGAATTCTTCCCCCTTTGCTTATAGGAACTGCTCATGGGCTGGGGCTCCAGGGGCCTTTTTGTTTATGCAAACCCTCCCCTCGAGATAACACTGAGTACGGATTTCTCAGAGAAAGGCTCCAGAAAGCTGAGGGCTGCTGCGTTGAACCTTAGCAGTCTTATGACTTAGGCCTTGGCCAAAACCACCTCCAAGGCACAGCCACGGGCTTCATTTGTCCAGATCTTGTGTTAGTGCAAAACCACACACCATCTGGACACAGCCTTGAGGAACCCATGCCGTAGGATTCTGAACCCCCTCACAGAACTTTACCTTCCCAGAGCCAAGCCACCCACGGGGGATCATTTTATCAACTCTTACAGCTTTCCTGGAAAGGAGACTGGGAACAGGCTAAGTGAGGAAGGCAAAAGCAGACTCAGGAGAGGCGTCCATCCCAGCTTCTGGCTTCCAACCTTGCACTTAATAAACTAGGCCAGCCGCTTCTTTGTACAAGCTTATTTCTGTCGACTGTGGGAAGAAACCATTGTCAACAGTGTGCATTTCAGAGACACGAGTTCCAAACCACATAATGTTCAATTTTTCTCAACTCAGCCCTCAGTGCTGAAAGGCTATATCAGCCTCTGAGAAGAGGCTCTGTAGATTGCATCCCAGCATCTGGCAGGAAGGGATCTGGTTTTCCCATGGGTCTGTATGAGCTAAAATGTTTGTTATTATCTATTCCTTGGAGCTCTTTTTTCAAGTCAGCTCTTATCCTTTCTAAAACCACTGCCACTTCTGGGGAACTTGAGTTATACCATAAATGTGAAGTCACCCAGAGAAGGTCTTGTTTAGACTGGGATCAAAGACCTTGACTGGATGCTTCAGCTTTCCCTTCTCCTGTCCAAACCCCCAGGATGGAGCTCTCCATCTAGTGTAGTAGAACATCTGTACTGTGTCTACCAGAGATGAGCTTAGTTACCTAAAAATACTGCATCAGCTGTCTGCAAGGCCATGTTTGCAGTATGATTCATATTTTGTTATAATATATTATGCAAAAACTGTCAAGAAATTCCCCAACTGATAACAGTGTCTTTCTCAGGAGGGTAAAAATCTGGATGATTTTTTTTTCTTCCTTGAGTTTTCCAAAATTTCTGCAATAAACTGATAATGTTCTTACAGTAGGAAAAAAAAATTGTGTAGGGTGTGTGTGTGTGTGTGTGTGTGTGTATGTTTTCACACATATCTTGTACTGGGGAATTGGTGCCCAGGGCCTTACATATGCTAGGTAAGAACTCTATCACTCAGCTACATCTCCAGACCTTTTTATTATTATTATTATTTTATTTTGAAACAGTCTCCTTCAGTTGCGCAGGCTGCCCTTGAACCTGCAATCCTCCTGCCTTGAACTTGCAATCTTCCTGCCTCAACCTCCTGAGTAGCTGGGATTACAGATGCACAACATCACACCCTGCCAGTCAAGTTCTTCTTAACACAAGGAAAAAAAATGCATTTGTGTAAGTTGCCTAAATAACTGATACTGTGCATGGATTCTGGCTGTCCAAAAATCCAGCAGATGGTTTTGAGAAAAAAATATGAACAAATAATAAAGGTACCAAAATGCAGAGTACTTTGATAGATGCAAAATGAGAAGACAGCCAAACAAGGGAGAAAAAAAGGAAAAGAAATGAATACAGCAGAGGGAAGCTATGGAAAGCTTTCGCATGGCACTCCTTGATTCTTCCAGTTCTTTCGTCAAGAGCGCAGCCTCCTAGAATCAGCCAGCTCAGACCTGGAACCCACTTACTTATTAGGGACAATGAAAAAATTACTGGAAGTTTCTGAACCCACCTTCTCCAGAGGGTTCTTCAACTGGGGATTGAATTCAGGGGCATTTAACCACTGAGCCACATCCCCAGCCTTTTTTTTTTTCCACACATTATTTAGAAACAGGGTCTCACTGAGTTGCTTAGGACCTTGCTAAGTTGCAGAGGCTGGCTTTGAACTCCTGATCCTCCTGCCAAGACACTGGGATTTCAATGCTACCGCTCCTGGCTCCCCAAATAATTCTTGAGAGAATGACTTGAGTGACATAAGGTCAGGAAGTCTCTCACCCTGTGGTAGTGGTGGGTGGATACATAGTGAATACCCCTGAGGGTCTATGGGACGATCTTCAGGGTTTTATTCCTGCAACTCTGTCCCCCCAGTGTCCACCCCAGGGAAGAAGGTTCTGATGACTTCTCCAGGCCACCCATGCAAGTTAGGTGAAAGACGAAGGGACACGTCTCAGAACTCCAAACTGCATCTCCAGCTGTGCTCTGCCCGGGTGGGAGAGAGGGACCGAAGCAGGTGGACATTCATATTTGCACAGTGACTAGCCTACTGCAGTTCAGGAATGGACACTACCTGGCCTTTGCCTCTGTTGTAAACCTGACTGAATAGGGAAAAACAAGCACCAGTGTGGGTATGTTAACACCAATTGTAGCCTTTTGTCAATCAGCTTCTTTGCATCTGGACTTCAAACACGTGTTTACCGCATTTGTTCAGGTAAAATAACGCTGGGAGGAGGGTTGAGATTCCCTGTACTTCCCCATATGGTGTCTTGTGAAATCCACACAGCCCACCAGCAGGGTCTGTAGCTACAATCTCACCATCCCAAGTGTACAGGAAAGATATTGATAAGAAGAAACTCACCCCAGCTCCCTCCATGACATCCGAAACAGGGCTGACCTTTATCTAACTACACCCAAGGCTATTTGCCCAACACTTAGGCAGTAGCTTGGAGAATCCAGAGTGGTGCCAAGTACCAGGAAGTCCTGTAAAGACAGCTAAAGTACACACAGCATCGACTTTATGCACTTAAGTGAATATATTTTATTCATAGGCCATCTTTCAGGGCCTGGCTCTGAGTATTGGCTTTTTTCTTTTCTTTTCTTTTCTTTTCCTGCATGAAGCAGAAAGATAGCAAGATGTAAGTATCTGAGATGTAAGTAAATCTCATTGTCTCCCAATGGTGTTGCCTAACAGCAGTAATTTAGTTGGGACATCCTCGCTGGACCACTTGCAACCTATTTGATTTGGTCCTCCTGCCTCCATCTCCCCAACACCTCATCCAACCACCTTGGCAGGGTCTAGAATCTTAGTATGAAGAGAATAATTGTTTAGTTCCAGCTGGAAGGATAAAAAAGAAAAGGTTTATCATGATTCCCAAAACTAGAAATTAAGAAATAGGTTTATAACTCAAGTTTAAGGAATCTCAGGCCTACCGCAGATTCAGATTTGAATGGAGAATCCCTTTGTGAATGAATTTGACTTGATAATTTCCTTGGAAGAAATTCTTTGAAAAATATGCAAGTGTGATCAAAGAAAATACATGTTCTTCTGTTTTCCATTCCTAGAAAATATCATGGGGGCAGTTCATTTTGTATATAGGATCATTGACACATGAAGGATTTTTAAAAACTGAGATCTGATGCTTACTCTATCTGCTTTCCCACCTTCATAGACCCTGCTGGTGTTCTGCATAAGAGCATCTCCTCCTTATCTCACTGAGCAACAAATTGCAAACAATTTGTTGCTCAGTGAGATAAGAGTTCTGCTGGATCCTGCAAATGCTTTTTAAAGTGTTCTAAAGAAATGGATTCATTCCCAGTAATATCCATTAGGGCATTTCAGAGAAGATGGATTTTGGCACTTCAGGAAATCCAGTCCCTTTAATAATGGGGCAGAGTGAAGCTCAGTGCCATCCTTCAGGAGCCAACAGTGAGTTAGGGCAAAAACATCACAGAGGCACGGCCTAGAAGACCAAGACCTCAGGGAGTAAAAAGATTTTTAAAAACAATCGTAGAATTTCCATCTGGAAACTATAAATTTTAGTTTTACAAAAACTGTAAGCCCTATTTTACAAACTAAAACTTCATCAATTTGTTTTTATAATTTCCTATGTGTACAAATAGGAAAATATAAAATAAAACAAAAATTCATTTTTATCTTACATAGCATGAGTAGAGAAATTCCCTACTCATGCTATGTAAGATAAAAATATAGTCAGAGATTCATAGATTAAATTTAAGTTTTAAGAACTTAGGCAGCTAGTGAAGACACTTTATCATACTCGAACCTGGCATTAGTCAGAATTTTCCCTTAGAGTCAGGTTTTTGTCTATACAACGCTCAAAGGCTTAGACATTAAACAGTTGTTATAAGTATTGTATGCATATTATTATTTTCTATCATTGAATTTCAGATCGTGGGATTACTTTCACAATACAACTTGAGAAGTTTATAGTTGCCTGATTCTGACATGCTTTGTTTCAGTCCTGTCCATTCCCCAGGAGATTTCTGTATTAGGATAATTTTCTATAATAACATTTTACAAAGGAGGAAGCTTTTCATGACACCTAATTTTAGACACCAAGTCAGGAATACTCAGACGTGCTGTCTTTTGAGTTGCTAAGTCCTTTCCTGTTTTATCCCCACTGGATTCTGATAGCCATTATGTAACCTTGGAATAAACACCGGAGTTTTCTTCACCATTTCATAAATCATAGACACAGATGCCAAATCCCTAAACAAAAATTATAATAGAGGGGCAGGAACAGGAAAAAAACACACACATCAAAACAAAATAACAGGAAATCAGAAGATGAGGTAGTCAGAGCTTTTCCTGAAACCCTTCTTTGTAAGCAGAGGTTGGAGTTAGGATATCTTACCAAGATTATGGAGTTCTCGATTCATAGAGAAGTCTCTGGTGCTGAGGAGTCTGAATGAACCCATCCATACACTACTGTACCTTTGTGATTAAGGACTATACTTTTCAAGAGGGTAGCCTGAAACAGGTATGGGGAAGGCAAATGGGCAGAGTCTGAAGCCCCAAACAGGAGAACAAGAGCTTCCTTTATCTTGGGCTATATCATCTTGACCTTGGCCATTTGACCTGACCAGATACATACAGACCAGAACAAATGGTTCATTCATCCTGGGGCTCCTGCTGCCGCCAAATGGCTGTGTGACATACTGTCAGAGTTATAGAACATGTGAGCAAAAGATATGCTCATGAGACAGCATCTGCTTTTTTGTGTCCTGAAAGGGCCTGAAAATTTGCATTTTGTAGTCACTTGGGCAAAGGTGAAGATTAGGAAGAAAACACGTATCAGAAGTGCATGAACAATGGTTAACAGCACAGTCTCAGACCAGTTATCCCAGGCTCAAACCTGTCTGCCACTCAGGGCTGTGGAACCTCAGCATACTTCTTTAATGGTTTTGTGCCTTAGTTCCTCATCTGCACATTGAGGATCATAGTACTCCCTGCATCACTGAGTTATTGTGAGAATTAAATAAATTGATACAAGCAAAACACTAGATCCACAGTTAGTACCATGTTTGAGTTGTTATTTATTCCAAATCTAATATGTGCCAGAGTCCACGTTGTGTGCTTTCATGTAACATTAGACTTAAATCCAGGTGTGTCTGCCTTGGAACTATGTCAAACATCATTGGTGCCTCCAACTCTAGCTGCTATTTTATAAACACCTGCATTGTAGTTTAGGACATTACATTCCTAATCAATATTATTGATGAGAAAAGTATTCCTCTCTCCATAATCATTTGTCTAATTTGAAATTAACAAGCATGAGATAAATGCATTTGACTCCTGAAATCAGGTCACTCTGGACCTCTGGACATCGGGAGAAAGCCCTGCCTGGGACACGTTGTGGTGCAGTTGGGGAAGGAGAACAGTGTTCCTTCCTTCCTTCTGTCCCTCACCAGACAGCTGCCTCTTAACAAGGTGACAAAGCTCCGGACAGGGTCTTTCCTGCGCTGGAGAACATCTGCTGGCTCAATCACCAAGCAGTCATTCTCTCACAGACTCTCCTTTGGAAGCCCCCAAGGCACTCAGGAACTTGGGAACAAGGTTTTTCCTTACCAAAAGCACTCAAGGCAGGAAGTGGGACTTCCTTCAGGCTGCCCTGCTCAGCTTCCTGGCTGTACAAGAAAACAGGGAAGAACAGGCAATAGAAAAGCACTAATTAGAAAACACACACACACACACACAAAGCAATAGTGTTGAGATGATAAAATTAATCTCAAGTCTGAGTTCATGCGAAATGGAGTCCTGGCTGGCATTTATTATTTTCATCTGCCAAATATTGGCAAAGCTCTTTGGAAGCGTCTCTAGCATTCCTTGGGAGTGAAAGAGTAGGAATGGGGATTTTGCTGGAGCCCAAAGAGGTGATACCTAGAGAACCCAGAGGACAGAACACTGTGATACCACCATCTAAAAGAGGCTTGCCAAGTTTTGATCTCTGTTAGGGCATCTGGGCTGAGCATGGTCTGAGAATGGGCTGAGCAGCATAGCTTACTGGTTCATACAGAAATGAGCCTATGACATTAACCTCCTAGGTCCCTGTGCCCTAAGCAGAGATGCTAACTGAAGCATTACTTTATCATACCTAAAAAGGTATTTAAGACTAAAATAACAGATAGGCAGAAAATGCTAACTTATATTGTTGAAGAAAGGCTCCTAAAATATTCTATTCTTGATTTGGGTACTTATCCTTTAAGTGACATATCAAAGAACTCATTTCCAATTCAAGATCATGAAGATTTATGGCTATAGTTTCTTCACAGAGTTTCACAGTTTTAGCTCATACCATTTGGTATTTGATCCATTTTTAAGTGAATTTTTATGTATGGCATGAGGTAGGGGCACTCCTTTGCATGTGATTATCTGGTTGTCCCTGACCATTTGTTGAAAAAACTACCCCACCTCCATTGAATTGCCTTGGAACTAATTGAGTATAAATGTTAGAGTTTATTTTAAGACTCTCAATTCTGTTCCAATGATCTATTCTTATGCCAGCACCGCACTGCCTTGATACTATAGCTTTTTAAGAAGGCTTGAAATTGGAAAGTGTGATTCCTCCAACTTTTTTCTTCTTTTCCAAGATTGTTCTGACTATTCTGGGCCCTTTGAATTTTAAGATCATCTTGTCAATATCTACAAAAAGGCAGCTAGGATTTTGAGCCTGTAGATCAATGTGGCAGTACAGAAAAAATATTTTTAAAAGTTAGCAAACTGAAAAAGGTTAGCACCCCCAAGCCCTGCCACTTGAAGTCAGCAAGGCTTTGGGCTTCTTTGAGGCCCCGTGCATACCCATATTTATAGCAGCGCAAGTCACAATAGCCAAATTATGGAACCAGCCTAGGTGTCCATTAGTAGATGATTGGATAAAGAAAATGTAGTATATATAATATATACACAATGGAGTTTTATTCATCCATAAAGAAAAATGAAATTATGTCATTTTCAGGAAAATGGATGGATCTTGAGACCATTATGTTAAGCAAAATAAGCCAAACTGAGATTAAGGGTCACATGTTTTCTCTCATATGTGGAAGCTGCAGAGAAAAGCGGTGGGGCAGGGGGGCTCTCAGGAAAATAGAAGGGAGACCAGGAGAGTAAAGGAAGAGGACCTGGGGGAGGGAGGAGAGAAGGGAAAGGGAGGTACTTAGGAATGAAATTGTTATATTGTTATACTGTTATACTGATTGCTATAGGAACATATAACGATGAATACCATTACCATGTGTCATTATAATGCACTAATAAAAAGAAAAAAAATGCTAAAATAAAAAAGTTAGCACACTAAAACGGCTAGCACCCCACTCCCAAGCTCTGCCCCTTGAAGTCAGGCAGGCTTTGGGCTTTGTTATGTCTTTTTTTATTATTATTAATTTCTTCTAATTAGTTATATATGACATTAGAAGTATTTGACATATTGTACACAAATGGAGCACAACTTCTCATTCCTCTGGCTGTCCATGGTGCAGAGTCACTCCAGTAGTGTAGTCATACATGTATATAGGGTAATAATGTCTGTCTCAAGCCACCGTCCTTCCCATCCCACAGTCCCACCCCTACCCTCACTCCCCTCTGCACAATCCAAAGTTCCTTCATTTTCCCTCCCTCTCCCTGCCCCATTATGGATCAGCATCTGCTTGTCAAAGAAAACATTTGGCCTTTGTTTTTGGGGATTTGGCTTATTCATTATGTCTTATTCTCGCAGAAGAGTTGTCTAAAGAGTTGCCAAATTAAGTGATACAATCTACATGAAAGCACGGTGAAAAAGTATATTGTGAAAATTAAAAGTGTCCTTAAGTCTATTTTTGTAGGAAGTCATTAATTAATTTGTTCAATTGACTTTTTGATGGAATTTAGATCTTGTGCTTAGAAACTGAGAAATGCATCAGAAACTTACACGGTTGTGTTAGGCAGGTTTCCATCTCTGTGACAAATACCTGAGATAATTATAAGGAGGAAAGGTGTATTTTGGCTCAGGGGTTCAGAGGTTTCATTCCATGGTTGCCTGGCCATGTTGTCTTTGGGCCTGTGCTGGGCAGAACATCATGGTAGGGAGTTCATGATGGAAGAGGTCTACTTACCCCATGGTGGCCAGGAGGCAAAAAAAAAAAAAAAAAAGAGAGAG